AAGGGCCGAGGCTACCCCGAACCCGAGCTTAAACCCTAGCGATTGAAATACTCATTAGCGAAAAATTCATTAATAGGTTCCCTGACCTTTAAATGAATAAAACCTCTGACACGCCGAAGGTCCGAACAAGGCCCCGAGAGACCCCAAGAGCCACCAAAATGCTTCAAAAGGCTTCAAAAGGCCCCCTAAAAGAAGGGGGACCCAGGATGCCCGTACCCGCAATGAAAAATGCGATTTTTTGGTAGTGAAATCGATGCTAAATTGAGGCCCTTAAAGAAGGGGAATCCAGGAGCAGACACAAAGGGTTCCCCTGACCTTCAAATAAATAAGGGCCTCTACGGGCCCTGACACGCCGAAGGCCCGAAAAGGGCCGAGGCTACCCCCAACCCTAGCTTAAACCCTGACAGCGCAACTTTAAAAACATCAAAGCAAGCATCAGAGCACAAGAAAGTAAATTCCATAAACCCTAAACCCTAGTAGAGTATAGTTTGGGTGGCCGGGGTGGGTTGACGGGCAACGCGAGCGCGCGGCCCGGGGTGTTTCACACCCGAGCGCGCGCCCTCCCCTGACACACCCTAAACCCTAAACCCTAAACCCTAAACCCTAAACCCTAAACCCGAAACCCTGGACAGCCTTTCCAGTGCTTCTGAACTCCTTTCAAAGCACCTTCCTGCTTCCAGCATGAAGCCCCGAAGCTCTGGGTTTAGGGTTTAGGATTCAGGGTGGGTTGAGCCGTGGGGCTGAGGGGTTTCGAGTTTGGGGTTTAGGGTTTAGGGTTCTCCGGCAGTCCAGGTCGCCCTCTTGCAGATGCTGTCGTGCGCTAGCGCGCCAGACCGCAGATACTGCGCCAGGAAAACGGAACTCCATAACTTACTCCTGTCAAACATCAAATCTCCAACATAAAGCCGAAACCCTACCGCCCCGGCAAGATCTGCAGACCCTAAACCCTAAACCCTAAACCCTAAACCCTCAACCCTCAACCCTAAACCCTAAACCCTAAACCCCTGTGTGGCCTTTGGACTCGGGACGGTGAGCTGTGGCTGCGGGCGTGCCGAGAGTGAGATCTGGGAAGGCCTCGCGTAACACGCCATGGGATCCGCACCCTAAACCCTAAACCCTAAACCCTTTTCTGCAACCGGGCTGGGGACTAGCCATAAACCCCAGACCCTAAACCCTAAACTGCAACTAAGGGACGTTGGGGGGGGGAGGGGGGGCCCAGGGCCCTCAGGTATAGACTCACTGTGGAGTCATGGTTTCATAACTTTTGAATGTGACATGGTGAGCATACCCTAAAGAAAGGGAACAAGGGGCTACTTTGTTCGCAAAAAAATCGCTGTCGGGTCTGAACCCTACCACCCGAAAATGGTAGAACCCTAAAGCCACGAAACCCGAAAACCCTACACCCCTAGCGCCCTCTAGCCCAAAAACCTTTATGGTGCAAGCACTAAATCCCCTGTATAACGCCCTATTACACCCTGTACCCCTTAATACAGGGGCCTGAAGAATTGGAACAGGGTTTTGGGGGTTCTTTTAGTATGTTTTTTTCAGGGACCATAAGGGAATACTAGTAGTAGTTTTTCCGACTTCTATATTGAGCCCCTAAAGGCCCCAAAGCTCTAAAACCAGAAGTCCCTAAACCTCCAAAACCCTAAAGCCCTAAAACCCCCTAAAGCCCTATTGGGGCCCCTAAACCCTAACCCTAAACCCTAAACCCTAAACCCTAAACCCGGTTCCTCCCGGCCTGTGGCCGCTGGAGGCCGTGGACGGCCTTCTCGGCCGTTCCGGTGGGCAGCTCACTGTTCCAACCCCTTGGCCTGAGGTTTAGGGCTTAGGGCGGTTTAGGGTTAGGGCTTAGGAATTAGGGTTTAGGGCTTTTGGGGTTTAGGGCTTAGGGTTTAGGGCTTAGGGTTTAGGGCTTAGGGTTTAGGATTTAGGGTTTAGGGTTTAGGGCTTAGAAGCCTTAAACTTTGGTAGCTTGGTAGCCCAGTGGCACCCTTTTCCACGTTAAGTTTTCTAAGTTCAAGGTTCCCTTGTAAAGTAACCAACCCCCAAAAGGGTACCCATGGCAAGTACCCTTACTATAATATAGACCCTAAACCCTAAACCCTAAACCCTAAACCCTTGACATGCGCCTGCGCGTTTGGATGCTCGGGTCTGCTGAGTTTTTGTCCGTCGGGTGCATAGCCCATGACAAGTTCTTTTGGGGGCGGATAATCCTTTAGGGTTCAGAGTGTGGGGTTTAGGGTTTAGGGCTTGTTATGGTATCATAGCACGCCAAGAATATCCATTCTAGCCAAACATGCGTGGCCCCGAACAAAAAGAAAGTCCCTCCAAACCCCAGCGATAGTTTTCCGCTTCTTGCTTTTCTGCAGAGCCCTGAAGCTCAAGACCGGACGGCCGGGTTTACCCTAAACCCCTAAACCTTCAACCCAGTCAGCCAGGTGGAGCCAAAGAGTCCTAAACCCTCCTACGCCCTCAACCCTAATTCCGGAAGCGGGGC